ATTGAGAGATATGGAGAGGAGGGGAGTGGATGGGATGGGATTGAGGGTTATGTAGAGGAAGGGGTTGGAGGTGGAGGCTGTTCAGAGGGTTGCTCCATGACAAGGAGAGAAACTGCTCAGTCCCCAAAGGCTGTCAGTGAAATGGAGTTGTTTTTGGGTGAGAGATTCCTGGTCAGTGTCTCATCCATTCTCTCTCAGTAACAATATCAGTTCTCACTGGATTTATTCTCTTACCTTCTTGTCTTTGTTGCGGAACCTTTCTCTCCATCTTTCTCTTCTGGCTCATTGGCATTTCCGGCTCCTTTAAACTTCCCTCCTTGTCTGGTATCCGCCTGTTGGTGGAAAGACGGGTTAGAATGTAATCCCATCATCCTCTTCCGATCAATTGAGGCAACACCTCATCTACACTGAGGCGAAACTCACCCAGTGAAGGAGTTATACCCCTCCATCTTTAAACCAACAGGAAAATCCTCAGCCGGAGGCCTGGTTGTCTAGGAAATGGGGCCTTTCCGTCAGGATGAACTGGTATTTCAAGAGCATCTTTAACATGATACCAATGTCCCAGCGTATTCCACAGGAGGGTAATCAGAGAAAATATGACCTCAACCCACAGAAAGAGTGGCTGGGGTAGGGGTCAAGGTAGAAGTGTGTCCAAGAGGAAGGGAGAGACGTAGAGAGGTTTAGGGAGGGATTTCTAGAGTTTACAAACACAGGGAGCTGAGGGCGCTAACAGCAGAATGATGGAAAGCAGGGAATTCTCAAAAGGCTACAGTTAGAGAAGTGCAGAGTTCTTGGAGGGTCATAAGAGGTGACAGAGGTACAGAGAGAGACCGTGGAGGGAGTCGAAGATGAGGATGAGAATTTAAAATTAGGGTTGATGTTGGCCTCAGAGCCAGTGAGCACAGGAAAGTGTGCTGGGAAGAAGCTAATTCGTGGATATTTTCTAAATCAACCTCTTCAGAGATGTTATTGAACATCTCAGGAGAAGCTGGGACATGAACCATTCCTTCCTGACCAGGAGATAGAGACACTACCATCACAACATTTTTGAGCCCTCAAAATTATATTGTATGTAACTGCAGCACATATTTATTGCCTACCTATGGGATTTTAACTGATAGAATGGATACATCTATGCAGATTGAGAAAGTGGACAAAAAAATCCAAACAAATGTGGAAGGGTACAATCTGGAATAGTGGGAAATTTAAGCCATTTCAATAAACTGTAGCAGTTTGGGCAATATCTTTCTAAAACCACAAGAGGGGACTATCCCATAATTCCCACCTCTCAGGATGATCCTGATTTTCGTGTTTCGCTCCAGAGACAGTCCAGTTAATCTAAAAAACAGAAAACAAAGCCCAAAATTAATTTCTATAATAAAAAATAGCTATCAACATCTGAAATGAATGTATGTTGTCAGGAGGTCAACAATAATCAAGAAAAATAATTTTTGCCATTTCAGGGTATAGCTTTCTGCACAGGTCAAAAGATGAAAAACAACAGAAAATCTTGCTTTTTGCCTCAGGAGAATGAGCAGGGACTGGAACGTTTTACCTTTTAGCAATTATTCCCAGGACAGGAATACTGTGGGGTTAGATACAGAGTAAAGCCCCCTCTACACTGCCCCCATCAAACACATCCTGTTCCATGGTTAAACAGTCTCCATACTGTGCCCACCAATGACTCCTGGGGCAGATACAGCATACTAACATGACAATTACTTTCCTGGCTTCTCTTACACTGAATGCAGTCAGAGACAGTGCAGTAACTAATGTCATATCAGAGGATCCAAGACTCCTCCATGGAGGATAATGTTATCAAAATTGGGTATTGTAGCCAAAGATCGCAAGCAGATCAGTGCTGTAGGCACAGTTATTTACAATATATACCAATGAGTTGGATGAGAAAAGTGAATGTACTGTTGGCCAGGTGACACTAAAAGAGGTGGGAAGGCAAGTGGTAAGGATGACACAAAAGAGTCTGCAGAGGGATATGGACAGGTTGAGGGAGTGAGGTTATGCACATGGCAAGAAGAAGAGGAGCTGAATAGTATTTCAATAGAGAAAAAACTGCAAGAAGCTGCAGCACAGAGGGATTTAGAAGTCCTTGTGCATAAATTACAAAGAGCTAGAATATAAGTTCAGTGGGTAATAGGGAAGGCAATACAATATTGGCCATTACTTCAAAGAGAATGGAGTATAAAAATAAAGAAGGCTTGCTAAAACTACAATAGCATTCATCAGACGATAGTTGGAATTCTGCGAGCAGTTTGACCCCGATCTAAGGAAAGATGAACTAGCATTGGAGGAAGTTCAGAGAAGGTTCACTAGGTTGATCCTGTATATGGACAGGCTGCCTTATGAGGGGAGGTTGAGTAGGTTGGGTCTATACTCAGTTGAGTTTCTAAGAAGGAGAGGGGACCTTAATTGAATGGCACAAAAATTGGTCGTGTTATAGTAGTGAGGCTGTAGTCTGACACAGATCGGCTAGTAAACAGGATAGAGCAAAACAAATGGTATGTAGATAATAGTGTGGAGCTGGAGGAACACAGCAGGCTAGGCAGCACCTGATGGGCAGGAAAGTTAATGTTTCTTCAGAAACCGAAATGTCAACTTTCCTGCTTCTCTGATGCTGCCTGGCCTGCTGTGTTCCTCCAGCTCCACACTGTATTATCTCTGACTCCTGTATCTGCAGTTCTTACTATCTCTGAGCATATGGTACGTAATCTTGATAAGGTCAAGGTTAATCCAAAGAGATTCTACAAGTACATTAAGAGCAAAGGAGCAACTAGGGAGAAAATAGGGCCTCTTAAATACTCTATGTGTTGTCTATGTGTTGAACCTCAGGAGATAGGAGAAATACTAAATTAATATTTTGCATTAGTTTTTATTGTCGAGAAAGAAATGGAAGCTAGAGAAATATACATTGATGGTTTGAAAACAGTTCACATTACAGAAGAGGAAGTGCTGGAGGTCTTAGAAAACATTAGGTGGATAAACCTCTGGGAACTGATCAAGAGTACCTCAGGACGTTGTGGGAAGTTAGGGAGGAAATTATGGGGCCACTTGCTGAAATATTTGTATTATCTATAACCACGGGTGAGGTGCCAGAGGATTGAAGGTGCCTAATGTTGTGCCTTTATTTAAGAAAGGCTGTAAGGAGAAGACGGGGAACTATAGACCGGTGAGTCTGACATCAATGGTGGGTAAGTTGTTGGAGGTGATTCTGTAAGATAGGATTTATATGGATTTGGAGAGACAAGGAATGATTAAGGATAGTCAGCATGGCTTTTGAGCAAGGGAAATAGTGTCTCACAAACTTGACTGAGGTTTTTTTGAGGAAGTAACCAAAAGGATTGATGAGGGCAGAGCGGTAGACATTGTTTACAAAAGTCCATGTAAAGTCTTTGACAAGGATCCACATGGTATACTAATTAGTAAAGTTAGCTCATGTGGGATTGAGGGAGAGTTTGCCAATTGGACACAAAATTGACTTGACAGTAGGAGGCAAAGGGTAGGGGTGGAGGCTTGTTTATCGGTTGGGGGCCTGTGACCAGCAGTGTCCCATAGGGATCAGTTCTGGGTCCACTTTTGTTTGTCATTTCTATGAATGATTTGGATGAGAATTTAAGAGATGTGGTTAGTAAATTTGTGAATGACACCAAAATTGGTGGTATAATGGACAATGAAGAAAGTTATCCAAGATTACAAGGAGGTCTTGATCATTTGGGTTAATGGGCTGAGGAGTGGCAGATGGAGTTTAATTTGAATAAATGTGAGGAATTGCACTTACAGGGTCAATGTGGAAAGGTCATCTTCCCTTGATGGAGAGTCTACAAGCGCATGCACCATCTCTGAGTAGGGAGTTGTCCTTTCAAGACAAAGAAGAGGAAGAATTTCTTCTCTCAAAAGGACAGCGAATCTGTGACTGTCAAGGCTCATTAAGTATATTCAAGATGAGATTGATTTTTAATCAATAAGGGAATCAGTAAGGGAACCATCTCCACTGCAGAAGTCCCTGAAACAATTGTTCAAACTAGTGTGCCATTCAAACATTTCACTCTAAGTCCAGTCCATTTGAAATAATTAGGAACTTTTACTCGTTTTTTTGGGTGCTGAATATTTGTAATAACTCGATGGGTATAATCTCTGAACAACCTGAACAGGATTGTCTCAGGTTCTCCTGATGGAGCAGTTTAGAGCGATCATGATGCAGGAGACCACTGTGAGGATGCGGCAATCTCACTGGTCAATTATCCGCAACTCAAATGGTCTGGGCTCAATGCAAAGCATGTCGGAGTCTTTCAGGGATAGAGACTTAGGGATGATAGCATAAAGTGATCCTAACAAAAGGAGAAGCTTTAACTAGCCAGAACATCAATCCTGCACAAGCTCTGAAGGCATCTTTTCAGCTTCAAGCTTGACTCAATCAGTGAAATTCAAACCTGCCTCAGATACTCAACCAAATACACCCAAACCAACAAAGGAAGCATCATCTCACATCCAAGACACATTGAAAAAAGGGTGATAAAAAGCTAGCAAACACAAAAATGAAAAGAACTGAATATATTGGTAAATGAAGAAATGTGTCAAGCAAAGTACATTTGTTTTGTTAGTATTTTTAAAATTGGCTTTTTTATTGCCCATATGTATGAACAGAATGAGATTGATCAAGACTGACCATGTGCATTTGGAAATTATTGGTGGATTGTTGGTGTCAGCAAACATCCAGGAGTATGAAATATAGAGATAACAGTGTGGAGCTGGAGGAGCACAGCAGGCCAGGCAGCATCAGAGGAGCAGGAAAGCTGACGTTTCAGGTCCGGACCCTTCTTCAGATCTTCAACTTCCTGCTCTTCAACTTTCCTGCTCCTCTGATGCTGCCTGGCCTGCTGTGATCCTCCAACTCCACACTGTGTTATCTCTGACTCCAGCATCGGCAGTTCTTGCTATCTCTCAGGAATGTGAAATGCTGTAATTCAAGACTATCACCACATTATGGCAGCAACATCCACAAGATAGCAAATACAATACTTAGTTAAAACATACCCAGTACATGTACAGCACAGGGTTAGATACAGAGTAAATATTCCTTGTCACTTTTCCCATCAAACATTCCCAAAGCAGGTACAGCATGGGGTCAGATACAGAGTAAATCTCCCCATACACTGTCCCCATCAAACATTCCCAGGATAGGTACAGCACAGGGTCAAAAACAGATTAAGTCTTCCTCTACACTGTACCCATCCAACACATAAGAGAATAAAAACGGATGACACAATCAGGTCACAATCTCATTGAATTGTCCAGCAAGATTGAGGAGCTGAGCGACCTATTCCAGCTCCAAATCTCTATGTTTAATATATCAGGAATAAGGACTTTTCAATGATCAAATACGCAGTCACTTGGTAAGATTGGCCAAGGTGCTGCCATGGAGAACTTTCAGTCGGTGTAAGGTTTGAACTTTCACCTTTTGTTTGCAGAGAGCAGGTCCCAGTGAATGGATGCGTAGTGTGTCTGACAAATGTGAAGAAACCACATTATAAGCTCAACTGATGATGTTGAGTTGATTATTTCTTTAACACCCAGTGAAAACTGAGTCACGCCTGTATGATGGATTTTCAGAGTTTCCACAGCCCCATAGTTAATCACGTGCTCCAACTCAACCGGCTAATTCTATATGAAGACTGGGGCAATGGCAAAATAGGAAAATGAATTGTGCCAGTTGTAAGTGACATTTGGTAAAGATCAGAGGTGAACACACTGACTACCTCAATCCCTCAGCTGCCAATCAGATTAAGCCTAAAACACGTACTGGATCCATGTAGATGATTCCCAGCTCACTGCTGACTGACTGAAGAAGCTCCTTCTCCAACTGATAGCGATCCATGAACCAAACCAGATCCTGCAAACAGCACAGACACAGAGACACCATGAAATACTTCCAAAACCTCCCAACCCCTCCAGCCTGGGATCAACCTGCTTCAGTTCGTAGCACTCAATTCACTTCAACACTATTCCAAAGGCCTGAATACATAATCCAAGCTGACTCTACCAGTACAGTACAGAGGGAGTGCTGCATTGTCAGGCGGTCAGTACTGAGAGAGCGCTGCAATGACAGAAGGAGTGCAGTGCTGTCAGAAGTGTCGTATTTCTGATGAGCCTGTATCCCAAGCCCTGTCAGTTCTCTCAGTTGCAGATCGATGACGAAATTGGAAAAGCAAGCTGGCATCTCTCAATGTTCCCAGCCAATACATATCCCTCTATCAACATCAATAAAATAATTTCTTTTTAAAAACTATGGATTTCTTTGGGATCTTGCTGTGTAAAAAATGGTTGCCACAATCCAACAGTGAGTACAGCTTCATTGCCAGTGGACAGTTGCTTGGGGAGACACTGAAGTATGTGAAACGTGCTAGAGTAATGCAGGTTTGTCTTCAACACTTCCTGAACTTTGCTTCAGTGTTGAAGTGGGTGTATTGAGGGAGGGTCAAGTGGTTTTGGGGTTATGTTAGGATTCGGTTCGATTCCAGTCATTTGGAGTTTGTAAATTTTCAATTAAATTTATAAAAATGAAAGACTAAATATACCTCAAATAATAAGCTGATGCATGTAAAAGTGACCATGAAAGTGGCAAATTGTCAAAATAAATCCTATCTTGTTTAGTGATGCCCTTTAGAGAGGGAAAGGTGCTGTTCTTACCCATTCTGGCTTCTAGTTGCCTCCAGTCCCACACCACGTAATTTACTCTGACCTGTCCCTGATGTAACCCAGGAAACAATCAGTTGCTTCAAGAAGATAAACCCTCAAAGGTGACAAGGAATGGGCAATAAATAAGGAGATTACAGACACATATCGATAGATTAAGTGAGAGGGTAAAGATGTGGCAAATGATGCATAATGCCGGAAAATATAAAATTATCCATTTTGGGAGGAAGTCTGAAGAAAAAAAAAGCACATTATGAAAATGATGTGAGATTTCAGAGCTCAGAGGTTCAGAGAGATCTGGGTGCACTGCTTCATGAATCACAAAAGGTTAGTAGGCAGGTACAGCAAGTAATTAGGAAAGCTAATGGAATTTTACCCTTTATTCAGAGGAGAATTGAACACAAAAGTAGGGAAGTTTTACTTCAGCTATTCAGTCCACTAGTGAGACAACATCTGGAGGATGGACACAGTATTGGTTACCTTAAGGAATAAATTCTGTAAATGTAACAGTTCAGAGAAGGTTTACTGGACTAATACCTGGAAAAGGGTGGATTGTCTTATGAGGAAAGGTTGGAAGGGCAGGCTTGTATCCGCTGGAGTTTCGAACTGTAGGAGGTAACTTGATAGAAACATTGAACATCCTGAGGGGTTTTGACAGGTTAGATCTGGAAAGGATGTTTCCTCTTGGAAAGTTATTGTTTAAGAGTAAGGACTGTCCATTTAAGACAGAGATGAGGAGGATTTTTTTTCTGTCAGAGAGTGTTGAGTATGTTTGCAAAGCTCTTTCTGAAAAGCTGCTCTATGCAATGTCCTTGAATATTTTGAAGCCAGAGGCAGATAGATTTGTGCAAAGCAAGGGGTGAAAGGTTATCTGCGGAAGGTGGGCATGTGGGGTAATGAGATGAGCTGGGGTCTTTGTGAGATAGGTTTGAGTGACTGAGCAGTCTATTCCTGCTCCTAATTCACATGTCCATACCAAGTGATGCCCACATCCCGAGAATTACTAAAAGAATCTTCTAGAAGGAAGCCTATGCATTAGTTTGGACATAGAACCTTAACTATCCAAGTACTAAAGACGACAGATCGCGGTGAAAATGCTGATAGCTCCCTCAGCAGTCTCTCAGCTGGGTCAAGACCAAACCCACCTCCCTTCAGGAAGCTGAATACAAGGACCTGGATCTGGAGAATGTGAGAACACAGGCCCCAGGTTAGAGGCTGAGGGCAGGTTGTCTCCCATTGGTAATTACTCACTTGGCGAGGAGTGATCTGATCCATATCCACCTGACCCTGCAGCACACTCTGGTAATATTCCAGGTTCTCCAGCATATCTTCATCTGTTGGTTGAATCAGTAAGTAGGATTTTGTGGCTTCCAAAGCCTTCTCGTAATTTCCAACTGCAGAGAGATAACCAGGGGGTGGAAGGGTGGGAGGAGACAGTGAGCAAAAGAAAGCGAGCAAGAGCATGAGAGGGGCAGAGAGACAGAGACAGAGAGACAGCACGAGAGGGGCAGACAGGCAGAGACAGAGGCAGAGACAGAGAGACAGCACGAGAGGGGCAGAGAGGCAGAGACAGAGAGACAGCACGAGAGGGGCAGACAGGCAGAGACAGAGGCAGAGACAGAGAGACAGCACGAGAGGGGCAGAGAGGCAGAGACAGAGAGACAGTTCGAGGAGGGGCAGAGAGAGACCGAGAGAGAGAGAGAGGGGGCAGACAGAGAGAAGAGAGGGGCAGACAGAGAGAAGAGAGGGCAGAGAGAGAAAGAGGGCAGAGAGAGAAAGAGGACAGAGAGAGAAAGAGGACAGAGAGAGAGGGCAGAGAGGGCAGGGAAAGAGAGAGGGCAGAGAAAGAGAGAGGGCAGAGAAAGAAGGCAGAGAGAGAGAGAGAGAGAGGGCAGAGGGAGAGAGGAGGGGGGCAGAGAGAGAGAGAGGGCAGAGAGAGAGAAGGGGCAGAGAGAGAGAGGGGGCAGAGAAAGAGAGGGGGCAGAGAAAGAGAGGGGGCAG